TGCTGGAATAACTGGATTTTTTGTTTCTTTATCCCCCCTATGTGATTGAGGGGATCGTACCTGCATTGCTGAGGTTATGTTGCCTTCCTCCCCAAAGGACTCACTGCTGATCTGTGTCGGGGCACCTTCAAGGGCTGCCCTTCAACCTATTGCACTTAAAAGAATCTGAGCTGGGAGTTGGCTTTGTGGCCTCTGTAAAATGTTTTTATCTTTCCTGTGCCTTATCAGATGAGATGCTGCTGCTCGTGCTGCAGCGGTGAGCTGGTGAGGAGGATGCAGAGCAAGTGAGCAGGAGGATTAGTTCTGCTTGAAGGCTCTGACACAGATCCACATCTCGGAGGGGGGACAGCGAGCATGTGGACTGGCCATCAGAACTAGGAAGGCTTACCCTTCCCCTTTGTGTAGGAGAGGAGGAGGAAATCTGAATAAGAAGCTCTATATGTGTGCTTATCTATCTACTGTCTCATTTAGCCTGAGGTTTTCCAACATCTGCTCCCGTGCACGAAACATCAGACTGAGACACACCGCTCTACTGAAACATTTGGCATTAGAAAGCTATTTTTTGTTGTCATTGCCCTCCCAGTAAGGCTGTGGCCTTTTTATGACACACTGTCACTGTCTTACATGTGACAACTGCCATAAAGTAAGGGTGAAACATCTGCTTTCCTAAATGCTTCAACAAGAGTGTTTGAGCGGGTGGTGCGTTGGAAGCTTGATACCCAGTTGGGCACAACTCAGCCCTCAGTCTGTAAATAGAAGTTTTAATCTCTGTTCTAGTGTTTCATTAGCTGGGTTTTCATGTGGGAGAGAGGGAGCCCAAGATAGCATGGGTCATATACGTGGCCTTTTTCTAGAAGTGTTTGCTTTAGCCAGCTTGTGTTCATAGGGAGCTTTGTGGCTTTCTGGAACAGTGCTGCTCTGTCCACGGCACTAAAATCACATTTGGTAAACAGCTCCTCTTTAAAATCTGTTCCTTGTGTGTTCTTCTACCTGTCTCCAGAGATGTGTGTGAGATCTGAACCCAAAGAGGCCTTGGAGGCTTCACCAAGCTCACTGCTGCTTCTCTAAAAGTAGGTGAAGTGGTGGGTTTCTGCTGTGCATCATTCCCATTTCTTGGATTCATACAATGCTATGGTGAAACATCTCCCAGCTGCTCTTTTTCTGGTAAATCTTCTTTCAAGGAGTAGGATGGTGGATAAAGGATGCAAAATACTGTTCTTCTGGCTGGTCACAGAGCCAGAGGTAGATGAGCAGCTCCAGGGTTGGAAGACCCAGAAAGCTCCTTCTGAAACTCCACTTTCCACAAAAGCTGCTGCAGGATTGCATCAGTTTATTCTGAGGAGGTATATTTAGGTCTTGAAGAGTAATTACACAGCTTTGAATAAGTCTCAAGTCAGAAGAGGGCACAGCTTAGCTTGGCAGGGATTCAGCCTTCTGGGAGTCTCTTGCAAAATGGTCCAGGCAGCTTTTTTTAAAATAAAACTTCTGAAGACGACCCACTGAATTGGCACCTGGTACCAGGCATTGGTCTGAACTATTTCTAGCTCTCCAAATATGGAGTAAAACTTAAAATTAGACACTTCTGGTTTTAAGC